GGGGGGGAGATTGCTGCTTATGCTGCTCCATTCATATCAATTTGTTGTTTTTGCTGTTCTTTTATTGCTGTTATTTGAAAATGCTGAAAGCTGAAAGTTCTTACCCGTAACCTTGCCTCGCCATCATTACAGTCCCTGCTGCGTCAAACATAATTCGTTTCAAAACTCTCTGAAAACAGCAAAACAAAAATATTTTAAAAAACGAGCCCCTGAATTATTTGCGAAGCTAGTGCGTGATGTATTTTGTCATGAAGCCTTTCAAACACCATATCAATCAAATGTAGCATCTCCAAATAACACCCCCCCCCCCTTTCTTTTTTAAGGGGGAAGGGGAGAGCAGTGGGGTTGGGGGCGCATGGGAATGGGTTCATAGGGTGAAGAGACTCTTGACTGTAGATTTGAACATGTTCTGATCAAAGGGATCCACTCGGTTGAAGTAAGATGTTCATGTAATTTAGTTTTAACTCAGTACTTTTATGGGAAATGGATTGGAAAACGAAATAAATGCTATGGCTATCGCAAACGCGTGGAAGAACTAGGAAATCTCTTGAAAGTTTAAGAACTGTCTCATTTGTTTTAATATGTTACCAGCTTCTTAGTTCTTATCCTTTTACAATAATATTCCTGTTGAAACTGCCTGCATTTTTCAAATGTCCATTATCATCTTTGCAATATTAGCTTTCCAATCCTTTTATTGTCCATATTTTAAAAGCACAATCGAATCTGCTCTAACAGCCAACTGTTTATGCAAGGCAATCGCATGTGCAAACAGCCAGTTCACTCCCCCACCCCCTCCCTATTTCGTTTCTTCTACATTATTATGACACTGTCCAAAACATTCACTTTTCAAAGACAACCGCTTTCCTCCTCGATTCTGCACTACCTCAAAATTACAAAGTTCTATCTGAATATTTTGGCCGCATTGAGTTATTAGGACCATGATGTCAGAAATCAAATGTTCTATATGCTCTATCAAAATCATAAGACTATTCCGAGTCGTTTTCAAGATATTCAAAGAATAATGATTTATTGTATTCGAAAAAGCTTGACATGATGTGAAATTCGAAATCTTTGACGTCAAATTTCTCAAAACTACGCACTAAGCAGATAAAACTTTGTAACTCTGAGGTAGAACTATGAAAACTCTCAAGATAGCACAAGTTTTAGCATTGTCCCATCTTTTGAAATTGATATTAATATCATTATGTGTCCTGCTTTTCCTTAAGATTTATTCATTTGAGTTTTTTCCGCTTTATACTCTTTAAGCACATCGTTTTTCCCATTTCTATTCTTTTGAGTAATTCCTTCTTTCCGTTTTTTCCCCATGTGTGGTCAGTCCCGTGATGTCACGACCCGCTCACCTGGCGCTGTGTGTCCTCCTGGTGGTCAGCTGGTGCAGTGGTCAAGATCATGTGCTCACAGTCCAGGACGCACGCGAGATTCTTGACCAGCACAACGACTACAGGAGGGAGGAGGGGGCCGCGGATATGTACTTGTTGGTGAGTAACTGAAGGGGGAGGGGAGGTAGAGGGGAGGGAGAGAGATAGAGAGAGGGGGAGAGAGGGGAAAGGGAGAGAGTGTGTGGGAGAGAGAGGGGCAAGGAGAGAGGAGGGTGACGGGCAAGAGAGAGAGAGAGAGGGGGGGGTGTAAAAAGATAGATAGATAGACAGATAGATAGATAGATAGATAGATAGATAGATAGATAGATATAT